AGGAAAATGTTCCCATATTTCGACCATACCAGACCAGACTAGACCAGCCTAGACCAGACACCCCAAAAAGACCTGAAAAGAAGAACATATGCTTTTCATATCAAAGCCTTGTTCTTTCATGTGGAAATTCCTCTTACAATTCATCTGTATACAATTTGCCATTGCCTTAAGAGAAACTATTAATCAATCATACTTGCTTCAGAACATATTTATTTTCTTTTTTAAAGAAATAATAAAAAAGGCTTAGATCTGGGTGTGAAGGGTCACCAATCAGATATAGCAGTTCTTTCACCCCATTACTTTAATCCCGGCCCTTCGAATAGACATGCTTCATTAGGTATTGTAACAGCCAGTTGACTAATTTACTTTACGTATTATTGGCTTTTCCGCTTATTTGCGGAAAAGCCTTTGTTTCTGTACTTATTTTTTTTTATTATTTTTTTTTTTTGGCTTTTCCGCTTATTTGCGGAAAAGCCTTTGTTTCTGTACTTATTTATTTTTTTTTTTCCTCTTGGGACTTCCAACCAAAATGCCATAGACTTTGTGCACGTTTTTTGTCATCGGCACTTTTTGCATAAAGCATACTCATATAACATTGAAACTTTACATAGTCAAAGAACATATAGCAAAGGTCTTTCGCGAAGATAGACGCAATGATGACGTCATCATGGGTCATGTGACGTCATCTTAAAGGTGCATACTTTAGGGCCCTATATCGCGAGAATGGTAAGTCTAATTTGGTTCATACTTGGTATGTAGGTAGACCGGGATGTGTTATAGGTAAAAATTGGGAGACGTCATGATGACGTCATCGTGTGATTTTATAAGAATTTTTGAAGTTTTGGACCCTCAAACCATATCTTATCAACGGAACATGGTAAATTCAAAATTCTTTTTGCAATGGGTTTGTTAGGTAATGCATACTTGGACCAAAAAAGTGAAAAGTGCATGACGTCATGATGACGTCATCAAAAATGCGATTTTTGTATTTCACATATAAGGGTAAGTCTGATCGTCTTGAAACTTGGTGGATATGCAGATACAGTTACTAGTATGCAAAATCCGAAGTGACGTTATGATGACGTCATCGCTTGATTTGTTATAATTTTTTAAAACTTTGACATTTTCTTCTACTTGCAAAATTGTACATGAAATTGGATCATTATTAACTTTAAACTACGCACAGTACAAGGCCCTTCGGTAAAGTTGGTCTTAAACAAGTCACATCATAATGACGTCGTCATTAGTCATGTGACCTCATCTTACAAATTATAATTTAATCATTTTATACCTATCGTTCTAGCAAGCCAATTGGGCTGAAACTTGGCAAATATACAGTTATGTGTATGTCATATTTAAAATGAAAAATACGTCATGTTAACGTCATCATTATTTTTTTAATTGATTTTTAATGTATATTATTTTCAAAGTTTCATTACGTTTTTCAATTGACAAGTTCGGAATTATCTTGAATCCGATCAATTCCAAACTTCGAAACAAATTTAAAAGAACCAACCTATAGCCAGATTTTCCAGAAATTTAAAGGAGACTTTTTAGTATAAAACGGACGAAATCACGTAATTCCCGATTTTGGGCAATAATGCGCACGTACAGCAAGTATTCCTTTCGCCAACAGAGGGCAGCATATACATTTAATGGTTAGTTTTGTTTAGCATTCGGCAGCTATAAATGCAATGCAAGTTAAACATTAAATGTATCTGCTGCCCTCTATTGACGTAAATTATATACTCACTTGGCTGTACTGTACGCACTTGGCTGTTGCCACTCAACCGTGTGTGCATGGCTATTGCCGTTGAAATGATTTGCCGCCCTGTATATTTTTCTACTATAGAAGTTAACTACGCCAATGTTATTGATTGCAATGATCTATAGCCCTCTACCCGTCTATTTTATTTACTTTTCTATTAGTAGAAAATGTCGTTATTAGTATTTGAAGTTTTGAAATATAAGGAGTCATGATTGCATCAGATTGTGCAGACCAGTAGTTGCTCAAAATGGCATTAGTATGGTAGGCCTATATGTCAGAAGAGGGAAAAACATATCTGTATGCTACATGTTGTGGAAAACAAAAACACAAAAATACGGACAACGGAAAAGCCGTGTGCTCTGTTCAAAACAGACGCATAACTCTAGTTTTGTTTGTGCCTCTAGCAGGAAGGCCAAAGTCAGTAGGGGAGACAGGAAATGTAGTCCCTTCGTTCCAGAGTTCCTGGGGTCAACACAGTAGAGACAGAAAAGACCTGTGCAGGCCCATAACCAGTGGCGTAGCCACGGGGGAGGGGGGGGGGGGCCGTGGGGGCGAACGCCCCCATGAAACCTTGTCGCCCCCCTTCCCCCACTGATCGCGAGATTTTGAGTTTCAAAAAAATTATCATTGATCTACATGACGCCCCCCCCCCCATGAAATGTTCCAGCCCCCCCCCCAGCGCCCCCCCCCCCCCCCCCATCGAAATGTTCCTGGCTACGCCACTGCCCATAACAAGGTATACTTTGGTATACTTTAGCCAGATTTTCCAGAAATTTAAAGGAGACTTTTTAGTATAAAACGGACAAAATCACGTAATTCCCGATTTTGGGCAATAATGCGCACGTACAGCAAGTATTCCTTTCGCCAACAGAGGGCAGCATATACATTTAATGGTTAGTTTTGTTTAGCATTCGGCAGCTATAAATGCAATGCAAGTTAAACATTAAATGTATCTGCTGCAGTAAACAAGATATGAAGCTATTGTGTGCCTATTGCAAAGGTAGAAACACGCTGAGAACTGCAATTTGCCCACGTTGATCAATTCTCCTTTGGACATCGAATGACTTGAAGTCCCTGCTACCCCCAGACTACGAATTGTTCTCACGACCCGATACATAAACTAGTTCAAACACCCTGACGACATGCATTGTCCTTATTGAGCCAACTGTTCGCAAGCCAGTGCAAAAGCACCAGGTTAGAACATGGAGCAAGGAAAACGGAAATTAAGCCGGCAAACACTCTTTCCCGAACTACAAGGCAAGTGGTTGTTCCTCTCATTTTTTAAAAGACAACAAAACGCGCAATTACGTAGGTTCTGAAATGTATCACTATTGTTCAACGGGGATTCATCCATCAGGATTCACAAAAGATTCTTGTACTACTCAAGAGCAACATACACTGTGAAAGCATGTTCCTTTTTAATAAAGAAGTTTCACTCCAAACAAAAATCAAGTCCCTTACAAAAAAAACATCACGCCATACTTATTCGATGAAACCAGTTACACCTTCTACTTTAAAAGCAATGAACCAGCTGAACTTGTTAAGGGGCCATCCATTTTGGTCATCATCGCGAGCGTACAAACTACACCCCGAGAAGAGGTTGGCAGGCAGCGTTACCCAGGCCTTTTACAAGGAATTAAAAATGACGGTGGGAACCAATGGGAGAAACCGTCATTGTTCCCTTTTCATTTTGTACGCTACCGAATGGGAGGGAGGGTCCGGCAAAATGAGTACAGTTTGTACGCTGGTAATGGTGATGGGAATGGAAGGCACCTGAATATGGGATAATTAAGTGGCAATTACCGGAAAATCTGCCCGATTTTAATCGGATTAGGGAACTTTTATCAAAACTGGTCATTCAATCAGTACTAAATTCACATTCTGGCTGGCATCTTTCAGAAGATAAAACCAAAAGTCCATTATATAGTTTTCAAAAGGTGTCTCCAGCGGACCCGACTTTTAAAGATTTAAATTTTACTGTATACATGTACATGAATAGTGATTCTTGGTTCCCGAAAATTTTAGATATTAAATACCACAGTTTTACTTAAAACAAACTGCTGTAAGGAGCTTTTTCAGAAAAATTATATTAATTTTGCCTCGGTGTTAAAAATTATTCCATGCCCTTTAAATAATAACTGTGTTAAAATGACAGCAATAATTACAACCACAACAAATTGCATGTAGGCTACGAGTAAAAATGAATGCTATATGTAAACTAAATATGCAATCGGTGAACTGAAGCTAAACTAAAATGAGACAGTTAATATAATATATTATGCAGTAGCAAACCACAACTTGATAAGAACTAGCCTCTTTCGTACCTAAACTATTCTCAAAATTGTCAAGCACTAACAAACTGGTTATACAAACAGATCTTATTCTTTTAATCACAGATCCTCTAACAGCACAAACAGCTAAAAAAATAGTTAGATCATGGTGTACACTGCATCTTTCTTTGATCATTATACGGCAGTGATGAGGCGTAAAATAGCCGTATATGTTTTAAACTCGTACAATTGCCATTAGTCACAGCTTAATAACTGTTGGAAACTAAAACCTATCCGTTTTTCTAAACTGTTGCCCAAATCAGGTGACTTGTATGCGCAAACCAAGATTGAAATTTTTTTCTTCTTGTTTTTGATATTTCACTGAGCTTTAAAGTCTGCATTCGCAACTTATTTGACGATTGATGCCCAGACAGCGCAGTCAACCTTCACTCACCGACCAATCAGAAGACGCCAAATCAATCCTTACTTTTAGTTAGTATGGATTCATCAATGAATTCAATTTACCACAAAGGTTTACACTCGTGCTTAATTTCATCCAGATTATCACTCCAACAACTAAATTAATAACAATGCGAAACCTGTACCTTAGTATACACCGAACACCGAATCCTCCCTACAATTCCTGATGAGTTTTGTCTGCGTTCCTATCCTTGCGAAATCCCCTGTTTAATGGGAGAATAGCGTGCATAATCCTGTACACGGCCTGACGTTCTGTCTCTGAGTTCATTTTGACCACTTTAGGGCCTTGCTTTGGTAACTGTGGTTTAGCAGGCGCACTTGTTTTGTCAGTGATCTGTAAACTGATGATAACCCTGTCTTGATAGTCTGGGGAGAATTTGTCAGTTTTCATCTCTGCTAAGGTATAGGCGTCGTAGGTTTGTCCGTCATAGTCCCCAATAACATCAGAATTGCCTGTGTCAAGTTCTAAAACTTTCCCTTACCCTTGGTGTTTCCTGAAGACATGAAGTCTTCCACTTCCTTAAAATCGAATGAGAAGCTTTGTTCAACACTTTCCCAGCACTTGACTTCATGTTCGTTGCGAACCCAATGCCATACTTCCTTGCCCTGATTTTCGGGTCTGTTACCAATATCTATTGAGAATGAACCGTACGGCTCGTACCAATTCTGCAGTACCCCATCGTTATCACATGAAAACTCAAAATTACCAGAAAGTACGTAATCTTTCAAAACTGCAGGTTCTTCGACAGCGGTTACGGGAATTAGCCTCAATTCTATTGTAACTATGTCTTCTGAGTCTTGTCTAAACTCCAATTTCTTTAACTCACTCAATGTATTTGCTTCATAGGTTTTCCCATCATAATTCCCAATTACATCGTCACCAGTTGTATCGTCCTCTTTCACGTGCCCGTGCAAAGTTATCTTATTATTAACCTCATCCATAAAGTGTTCACTTTCTTGAAATCTGACCATAAAAGGTTGGCGATAAATGCCACCATTTGTAAGCGAGATAGCATTAGCTCTGGCCTCCCATATTTTATAGTTTTGATTTATGTTTCTACTTCCGGCACTAATATAGAAGTACCCGTAAGGTTCATAATTAGAACCTTGCAACCCATCGCTATCGCATTGGAAACTAAAGACGCCTGTCAGCTGGTACTCGATCAGGTTGGACTCCGAATCTTTTGTCACTTCCCCTTCTTTGACTAAGGAAATGGCACGGTTCCCACTATAACAACATTTACTCAAATCCCGCTGAGTGGATGTTTTCCAATCAATTAGATCAAAACCAAGTGCATTTCCCTTGGATATGCAGTCATCCAGGGCAAGTGCAGTATTACCATCTGATTCCCATAGATTAGAGAAAACTACGTAGCTGTGATCGTTCTTGTTTTTAATATACGTATTTATTGGAAGTTTTTCATCACTACTGATTGAATAGTCATTGATTGAATTATGAACTCTGCTGTAGTCAAATAATGGAAATGCTGGGCCTTGAATAATGGGCAGTTCCAGATCTTGCAGCTTGTCAGGGCATTGGACGCCCGTAATCTCTGCCACCAAGTCGCATACATTAAGGATGCTGGCCTGTGGTAACAAATACAACTGACCGTATAGTTCATTTCCTCCTAGGCCGGGTTCCCAAATGCTCCACGCATCGTCCACTTTCTTGTAGTCTCCTGGTTCGTTGGGGTCTTTGATCTCTTCAAGAGTCAAGCCAACCAGGAACACGCCCAATACGTCTTCTACCAGGGAAATACCGTCATCTATGGAAATGTCCGGCAACTTTTTGGCAAACGCGTAGATGTAGTCGATGACTTCATCCATATCCTTCGCGCCCCAAGGAGCATGCAACTTGTGATACCCCTGTTTCTTGACGAATGTTTTGACAAACTTCAGCACTAAGTCGTCTGCCAGTCCCTTTTCTTTGTCAAATGATGACATCTTGTCCGCAGGTCGACGTACTTGATACATGTCAGAGCCACTGCAAACAACGTCAATTTACCGATTGCATATTTAGTTTACATATAGCATTCATTTTTACTCGTAGCCTACATGCAATTTGTTGTGGTTGTAATTAATGCTGTCATTTTAACACAGTTATTATTTAAAGGGCATGGAATAATTTTTAACACCGAGGCAAAATTAACATAATTTTTCTGAAAAAGCTCCATACAGCAGTTTGTTTTAAGTAAAACTGTGGTATTAAGATCTAAAATTAATCGCGAACCAAGAATCACTATACATGTACATGTATACAGTAAAATTTAAATATTTAAAAGTCGGGTCCGCTGGAGACACCTTTTGAAAACTACATGCATGTATAATAGACTTTGGTTTTATCTTCTGAAAAATGCCATCCAGAATAATACATTGCACTGTGAATTTAGTACTGATTGAATGACCAGTTTTGATAAAAGTTCCCTAATCCGATTAAAATCGGGCAGATTTTCTGGTAATTGCCACTTAATTATCCCATATTCAGGTGCCTTCCATTCCCATCACCATTACCAGCGTACAAACTGTACTCATTTTGCCGGACCCTCCCTCCCATTCGGTAGCGTACAAAATGAAAAGGGAACAATGACGGTTTCTCCCATTGGTTCCCACCGTCATTTTTAATTCCTTGTAAAAGGGTAACGCTGCCTGCCAATCCCTTCTCGGCGTGTAGTTTGTACGCTCGTGATAATGACCGGAAATGGATCGCCCCTTAACAAGTGCAGCTGGTCCATATTGCTTTTAAAGTAGAAGGTGTAACTGGTTTCATCGAATAATTATGGCGTGATGGTATTTTTGTAAGGGACTTGATTTTTGTTTGGAGTGAAACCTGTTTATTAAAAAGGAACATGCTTTCACAGTGTATGTTGCTCTTGAGTAGTACAAGAATCTTTTGTGAATCCTGATGGATGAATCCCCGTCCAACAATAGTAATACATTTCAGAACCTACGTAATTGCGCGTTTCGTTGTCTTTTAAAAAATGAGAGGAACAAACACTTGCCTTGTAGGTCGGGAAAGAGTGTTTGCCCGCTTAACTTGTCTCTAACCTGGTGCTTTTGTACTGGCTTGCGAACAGTTGGCTCAATAAGGACAATGAATGTCGTCAGGGTGTTTGAACTAGTTTATGCATCGGGTCGTGAGAACAATTCGTAGTCTGGGGGTAGCAGGGGCTGCAAGTCATTCGATGTCCTAAGGAGAATTGACAACGTGGGCAAATTGCAGTTTTATTTTTTTTTGGGGGGGGGGGGGCATGGCCCCCTTTGGCCCCCCTGGATCCGCCCTTGGTAGATTACATAATTTATTAAAGTTTTAATTGCTGTTATATCACAAACAGCTTGATAATATGTTGCATAACCTCAAATTAAACAGTTATAATTTTAAAACATGCCTTTATCCTGTAAAACTTGAGACACAACTCTTTTTATTTCATAGAAACAAATTTATTTACAATGTAATTGGTTCCAAACAATATAAATTTTACAAAACAATTACAATTTGGCTATTCTCTTGTACATTAAATATGCGGGAACATAATGGTCATTTCTCTGTCAGTCAAGGGGCCCTCCTACTGGCCACAGTTATTGTTTCCATATGGATATCCACAACGCAAGAATTCTGTCTTCTGAAAATGAAACTGTTTCAAAATAACATATTGAGATATTTAATAGATCTTACTTCATTTCGGCCTATTGGAAAAATCTTTTTCTTGAAAAAAATTATACCTAGGTTTTCAGTCCATAAAACAGACCCTAAACCCCCAACCCAACAATTATTTTAGGTCTTCACTGCGTCCCGAATACAATTAGCCGTAATCGGTTGAAAATATAATTAGGTGTTGGGCTTTGAGCCCAAAACCTATTGTTATTGTAAGATTTTAATATTATTATTCTCCAAGACACAATTCTTCTCCGGAACTGTTTGGAAAAATGGAAACATATATGAACTTTATTCGTCAATAAATGAATACACAATCCACTGAAGATGTGCTTTTTTTGTAATAACGCCATTATGGCGTCATCATGGGTCACGTGACATCACTTGAAAGTTTAATAAATTTAATCTTTGTAATTCCATATAAAATCAACCGTGACAGACCGGAACTTGAATTTTGCGGGAATCGACATGATAATACATGGTCTTCATTTTATCCTGTCCGCGTAAAATCACGTGACCCTTCCTTCCGGTTGAAACCGGAAGTGCCTAATAATTTGAAAGTGTAAAAAGATATGAACTTGCTTTTAAACGATGTCCGGGGTCTGCCTGGATTAACCTTTAAAAAAAAATAATGGGTGACGCCATGAAGACTTGGAGTGCCCTCTAGCGGCAGGTTAAAAAATGTCAAAAATGCATTTTCACTTGATGTCTGTGGCGAAGTTTGCGGTGTTTGCTTTAAAATTAATGTACATGATGACCTTAATGCAGACAAGACCTATGCGCGAAAAAAATTGATTACGTCATCAGATCGGAAGTTACAATAAAAAGACCTTTAAACCTTCAAAAATTGCTAAAAAATCAACCATGAAAGATAAAATCAAGATTTGGCTATATATAGCACAGTTAAAATAGCTTTTGAACTTTCTGGTAATAATGTCACAATGACGTCATCAAGTATCATATTACAAGCAATCAAAGATTTCTAGATTTAGTCTTTGAAAATCAATATAACATCAACCAATATTTGATTTTGTTTTTATGGCAATCAATAAAATATTGCAGGGTCTTCATTTTTGGTATTAAGTGCATAATCACGTGACCCGACCGGAAGTGCCTTATTATTTTAAATTGGCAGAAGATGCGAACTTGCTTTCAACGATGTGAGTGTCTGCCTAGGCAGTACTGTGCACAAAATTTACAGGTGACGTCATCAAATGTTAGAGCGCCCTCTGGCGGCATGTTGACTGATGTGTGTGGCAAAGTTTGCGGTAATCCATGGCCCAACACCGTGTGGTTGTTACTACAACCTCTGGTATTATTATTATTGTTTTCCTGGCCCCCCCCTCCCGCCTCGCGACGCTCATGCACGTGTGTACATGAAAGCTAATCATACATTCATCCTCTCGGACTTGAATATATGTTTAATCCCCCCCTTCTTTTTATCTCGCCCAATTTCTGAATTCCCAGCCGGCCAGAAAATATCTTCCCGTATGTTTTTTTTTTCCGCACTGCACTCAAAACAACTTTTGCCTCAATTATTCGACATATGAGCACTGGTCTTTATATAGAGATTAGTGCATATGCATGAGACTTTAGGACATGTAACCAGTCTACTTTGTGTACAGTAGGCGCACCGTCGATTACGTGCTTTCGGTTAATTAATTTAAAAATACCATGTTAGAATTATAATCTTCAATTTAAAAAAAAAATAGAGAATTCGTCTAAATAGTCTGCAGGCATTTGTTTTCGAGGTCATGGGTCAGGCATCTTTGAACTTCTTTGAACCCCCAAGTCGCCCCCCCCCCCCGAGATTTTGAGTTTCTAAAAAAAATTATCATTGATCAACATGACGCCCCCACCTGAAATGTTACAGGCCCTCGGCGGCCCCCCCCCCCGAAAATTCCTGGCTACGCCACTGGAATTTCTAAACCGTACGTACGAATTACTAAATCGTACGAACGAATTACTAAACCGTACGTACGAATTAATAAATCGTACGTACGAGTTACTAATTATTTCGTACGTACGGTTTAGTAATTCGTACGTACGGTTTAGTAATTCGTACGTACGGTTTAGTAATACGTACGATTTGGTAATTCGTACGTAAGAATTAGATTTATTTTTAACCATGTCCTTTCTACACTTCCATAGAAAACTGTTGTTTGGAGGTGACATAAAAAAGAGGAGCTGTTCCCTTCAAGTTGAACAAAGCTGCTGATATAATCCCTTGCCTTTCTTCCACAGGATCGATCGGGAGACTTGTTATAGTCAGCCTTTGGCAGGGCGATGTTTTATTATAAAGAACTACACAACTGCTTCAGCACCAAACGTTGCCAGAGTTTCGGTTTTTATGTGGTAAGTGAATCATTGTTGTTTCAGTTGTGAAATGTAATCAACGAGCAACCAAACTTAACGCACAAATAACTCCACTAATAAGCAATCTCAGGTTCATAATTTGAACAGAGACCTTCAAACTGAAAACTGTGTGCCTTAAATTTAATCACAGCAACATCACTCTTTGTTGTAAAAAAAAAGCATGGAACACTTCAATGTTAAAAAAGTGCACTTTTAAAAAATATAAGCAAATATCACAATTGGACATATGAGTCCTAGTCACTTAATAGTTCCCTTGTCGATCATCATATTCTTAAATATTTAATCTTTAGTAGCCGGCGTAATAGTCTCCATTATCAAACTTTTTCTTGTATATGTAGTTGGGTTCCTTTTGTGACATGACTAGTTAGACTGCCAGAATTAATAGTACGGTGCAATGCTTATATAGAGTTCTTTAAATTGTGCTTTGGCCACTCAACCGTAACATAAGTGGACTAGGTCTTGGCAAGGAATGACCATTGAATTTTCTTTCGATATCTTCCTTTACTGCAGTTCTTTGAAATGAGTTTCTTCTGTAATTTCGTCAGCCAAGCTGGGTATGTACAGCACTACCTCGTATTTAGTACAGGACAGCACATTGTGGGAATGACCAAGGAACGGAGCATGGCCCGGATCCTAAGGTACGCGTTTTGTTTCATTAATTTCTCAGGTATTTTATAGTTGATTGGCTTTTGTGTGTAATTTATTTGTTTGTTCGGAGTTGGATTTACACTAGGCACGTAATGTGAGCTGATTACAATGCATATTGCCACGAATGCGGTGCTAAAATGTATTGACAGACAAATTCAAAATTGATGTAATAAACTGTGCATCTTTTGTATTTCTATGCAAGCTAATTGGATCACCGAAACTCAAGAGTAGTTTTTCAATAGTTACAATGTTGTATTTTGTTGTTGTTGTTGTTGTTGTTTTTAGCCATTTTACAATTGAAAAGTCAGAATTTTAACGTGATTTTAGACAATGGGAATCAATAGTAATATTCAACAATTCCCCATAATATGTGTACAGTTGGTGTCAAACTGATTTGCTATCATAGTTAAGAGCAAAGTATTAGCTCCACACTGCATTCAAACAAACAGTAAAAGTGTCCAGACTATTTCGTGGGATCTGGCCAAACTACTTAGTGACTTATCTTTATATTCAAAATCAAGGGCGGCATATATAACCACGTGTCTTCCGCACCCAATAATGAAAATGATTGTGTCATCACTGGTACACAAGCCCGATTGAAATGAAATACTTGCAACACTTGTCTGAAACATTTATATTTCAAGAGATATATGCATTGCAGAAGTGAACCGTTGACTGAAAGGTCGCATCACGTGACCACAACATTGACATTTGTAAACAAATTGTACATGGTCTATTGGTACGGATGCTCACTACACCTTGCCAATGTAGAAAAAAGTCGAAGTCGCAAAAAAGAACACTGTGGATGAAGCTCGAAGATCTAGTTTATATGTTTATTAAACTAACATTATGAATGAAGAATCTTAGTATCAATACCAATGGACAACTATTATGTTTAAATACACATTGATACATTGAAACAAGCATAAGCTAATACTACAGATTCCTTTTTTTTTAATTTTGAATGCCTGATTATACATGTATACAGTAAACACCAAATCGGAAAGCCGTTTCGCCTTCGGAATGCATGTTCGTTTATTCAGAAACGAACGGATAGGAAGTTATATTTTGATCGGGTTGGGATGAAACACTTGTTCTGATTTATAAATGTATACACAATTAAATTTTGAATCTCAAACTTTGTATTCGGTGGAAATCTTGCAAATATCGCACTGACCCCGCACCGAAGTTAGAAAATTCGCACAATTTCACGGTGATCGACTTAAAAGCATTCCTGGGCTGTATAAAAACAGTTTTCGAAAGAAGGTTCTTAAACAGTACATAAAATGGTTAATTCACTGACTAATGAGCATGAAGCAGTTCACTTGCACCACAAATACAACACCAAACCTATTCTACATCAATATGTTAAAAAACACTTATAGCTAGTGCTCTTATACAAAAATATCTCGTTAGTCTAACTTCCGATCCTGCTAGGATTATGCTGGAAGGCAAACACGCACCGACTAGGAAGCAATTAAACGTTTACAAATAAAAACGTTAACAATCGTTCGGTCACTATCCCAAAATCCATTCTTTATTGTTAGAAATGAGACAATGTGCCTAAAACGATGTCATAGTAATCCATATAAGGATAAGTTAACACAGTAACCCCTTCTTAAACTCTGTGTATACATACAATATTAACTATTAAGACCATGCAAAGTATGCATCAACACATTACATGGTTATAAGAAACCAGTTACAAATTGCATGTTTTAGAGTGTGCAGTTATACAAAGTTATCATGGTCTTGATTAAATTATATCTACCCAAGGATACTCATACAAAATTGAATACATATCCGTATAAAATAATCTTTGCCATAATGACATTGTTATATTGTAACACCAGACCCAGCTTTAAGTCTGGCTTTCGCGAAACAAATATTTACAGAAGGCAAGGAAAGAATAATGCAGCCTGACGCCACTTTTTGTCTGCATATATCACCTCAATAAAAGTCAGTCATTGCAAAAATGTTTTAAAGACATGAAACTGGGAGTACTGAAAAATCGAATTTTGTTAGGAAATACTTCTTGACTCTCCATAGTCTTTGTACACAACCGCTGAAGTGGCGTCTGGATACTACATTCTTTCTGAATGCAAAAATGTAGGCTGATGTGCAGATATTACCTAAGTGTTCTATTTTACCGAGAGCTTTGATGAAAACATTGCCAATACCTTGTTAGAGCAAAACCTGTTTTTACGTTAGATTTTAAAACGCAATGTTTATAATCCATCATAACAGTTTCTAAACTCATGATTCTTAATCCTCCTACCGTTCCTCGACAGAAAAGAATTACACAATTTGCAGCTAGTATACATGTTCTGGTAACAATCCTAACACTTTGTGGATGAGCTCCAGTTTAGTGATAATGTGCCTGTTATTCTATTTCTTCGATGTTAAGAATTCTTTTTTTTTTCACCAAAACATCGATGCTCCGAAACATTCATAAGAAAGGCTTAATTTGATGCTCTTTTTTACCTTTGTTTGCAGAAGTATAACATTTAAAAGAAACTGGCTTACAAAAAGTAAATTGAACTTAATCAGGTGAAACATGAAGACTGAATGCTGTGTGCTTAAAACAAGAAATACAAATGCTATACTCGGTAACCCAACACGTACACGAGCCGAAACAAGCTAAGTCTCATCCGACTTTAACGCTACTACGTTTGAAAAGAAAACATGCAATATAAAAATATATATGTTAAAATTTCAGTTAACAACAAGAACACAAAAAGTAAAACTCAATAACATATTAGATATTATATCTAATATGTTAAAAAATAAAAAGTACTTAACGTGCTATAAAAGCATGTTAAGTACTGTTTAAACGTGCTATAATAGCATATGCGAGATCTAGCACGTCAAATGTCTAGATCTCGCATATGCGTTTTAACCCATTCAAATCCTTCTGATTGATAGTGTTGATTCAACCAGTTTGATATGAGTCCATGAACAGACAATGAACTTCTGTCTTACAAGAGGAAAACCTTTCTACTGTAACAGTCAAGAACATGATAAGTGCATAGCCTTAAAAATTGGAACTTTCGTCACTGTTTCCCCTACAGTTAACTTTCGTAAACACTTATTTAAGGAAGTGTGCAATATGATTTCAGAAGAGCTAGTTCCAGTATTTAAGGGTGATGGCTCTCAATTTTTATTACCGTTGCACTTTCATTTTCTGCCTTTCTAGAGCCCTAAACCATTTGGTAAGAAGTCATTTATTTTTTTCTCTAATTCTCTTAATATGGATTTCGAGCAAATTCTTATACTCGAATGGCCTGTTTAACCATTTGACAAAAAAACAGTTAATATCTGGACAAACATTGTCACACAAATTGTATCATTCTTTGATGGACAATTTATAACGCAATCAGTACAGTTCACCGTAGCATTTCACTTTTCAAATTTACAAGTTATACACTGTATTATAGGAATAGCCCTGGATTGGGTTTAGGAACTTTCTGATACGACCTTTGATTACAAAATAATAAATGTAAAGTTTTCAGTTTGTTAAATGGGTGTTCCTCAAGGGTCTAATCTACGGCTGTATTTTTCAGTAATACATTCGCATTAGGCCTATATAAACACAATTTCCTTTTAATCTAAAAACTTGATGTTTCAGTTGCAGTGTTTAAAACAATGAAACAGGTTAGCAAGTCCGAATAATAAGCACCGAGTTGTGAGAAAATGTATCTCAATTTAAAAGTATTGAGTTTGTTCTAAACCACAACATTATTGTCAGTGCTTTTTTAGTCTTGTCTTAATTGTTGTACTAATGCAAAAGTAATTCACTTTTGAATAAGAACTCTTGCGGAAATTTGGTCCACAATCAAATATCGAGCAATTTTCTACCTATAATGTTAAGGATGAGGAACGGATCCAGCCACAGCAAAACACGTAAACCTATAAAAAAAAAATGTATTTTAACTGGGAGCGTAAGTTATATTTAAGTATTAAAGCTATATTACGTATAAAAACCTATATTTTTGTTGTGCAGTTGGATTATTTCAATGAAATGCATCTATCTAGTTTGGTGGTTTTAGGTAAGCAAACGCTGTATTTCTGCTGAAAAATCGCACCAGTTTCACATCATATAAACCAATAAATGGCTGTAATTTGGCGATTGGAAAACCGATAATTTCCTTATCTCGATTTTCAAAACCGTAATTACAAAAAAGACCTATATTTGTGAAGAAGGGCACCGTGAGGCTTGCGGATCCGTCTACAAAAGTTCACGGAATAAAAGCCTTTTAGAAGGTGGTAGACGCCATCACGGAAAATATAAAATCACCAGTTATTTTTGTGAACGTAAAGCACCCAAAAATCTAAATTTGTGAGGAAAGGATGTATGAGAGCACGGACAGTTGGCCTGCATCTTTAGATGGGGCCTAGGCCTATATGTAAAATAAAAACATTAAAAAGACCAGTAAAAGCCACATGAATGTGTTTAAGAACAAACACACTGTTGTGGGTCTTGTTGCTGTACTGGTTGTTCACTGGGCTGAACTGGTTTTTGCTTGGACTAAACTGGTTCTTCAGAGACTGCTTCTAGCCTTATGTTGTTTTGAATTCTGTTGATATCCCTGGTGGATACACCAGAGGACAAACTTAATTGATAAGTGTGCGTTGAAGCACTATGAGAAGGCATATTGTCTACGATTTTAGCCAAAACAACCCTCTCACCGAGTGACAAGTTGGTAATTTTTGGTTTCTTTAGCCCTTTACACAGCTCATTGCATCTGTGGTTCTTAAAGAACTTAACAATACCACAAATCCCTAAATCAGTAGAGCCGTAGAAACCGAGTTGCGTGCCGCTGCTGCTAACAGCCGGGTCAGTGAACTTGTACCCGGCACGACTGCGCACCCCTTGCAAATCACAAACCAAAGCCGTGCCGTTGGATTCATGATATGTGAAATGACTGAATGCAGCCGGGGTGGCGATATCTTCTCGGGCTAAGTATCCCGAGTTGTTGTTAAATTTGACATAATCCCCCTCAAGGTACCTCTCGACAGCGAGAGTAGCGTTTGCGGGGATAATATTGGAAACGCTGTCGGAGGTGCCAGGAAGTTTTCCTTTGACATTTCGTTCAAATGGAATGAAGCCCAGGAAATTATAGGCGGCACGGGTGTCAACTTGGGTGAATTCAGGTTTAACGAACTCGATTGGTTTGCTCGTATTATACCTAATGTTAAACAACCGCGCCATATCGTGAGCTTTGCAATAAGCACGGTCATCTGCTTTCCAGGCATATTCCGACATACGTTCATACCACTCTTCTTTATAGACTTTCACCACGCAGGGTTTCCCTTCCAAGTGAGGCTCTCCGTGAAATGTACCCTTGTAGGCATACCTTGAGGCCCCTTGATCGAACCAGTCGTCCTCAAACTCCACCCACGCAGATGTGTATCCAATCACTTTAGAGGTGTTGCTTTGGTTGCTGCCCATATTGCAAGTATTGGGATACGTCTGAAATTAGAGTATTTCAGCTTCGTGATAATATTTTGAACAAACTGTAGTACAAACCAACAAACCGAAAGTTATCAGAAAGTGTGCATTTATTTATAAGTGTCACGTAACAATTGCAGGGATTTCGCACTTCACGTAGGCACACTATTTCTGAAAATAATTATAGGTGATTATTTAATGCGTTGAACTGTTTCCTTTTTGTTAAATAGCTTGCTTTTGGACGGTTACAAAATTTATCATCATTTGAATGTGCGTGTTTGTCAAATTGTGCGCCTGTTACCAACGGTTTAAGCGTTCTTACGTGTCTTAAAGCGTTCGGGCATTAACAATAGTAGCGTAACAAGGTCAGTTTACGTGAAAAAAGGAACTCCCCTCATCCGGGCTGAAATTAAGGTGAACAGTTTTTGTTTTTGTTCACCGGTCCCCCGGCCTCTGTTAAATAAAACAAAGGAGGGGGGGGGGGGGGCTTTCCATGGCACCATGGGACAATTGGTGGAGGACAAAACGTTGCACTTTTCAAGGCGGTACAATTGCCGACGCTCGCTCTGCGTAAAAAAGTCACTCGTAAATGAGGGCGCTCGAGAAAAAAGGGCGCTCATACCCCGTTAGTTTCACGAGTGACCTTTTTGTTTTTATAACGAGCACCCTTGCCCTTGTCCAACGAGCGCCATTTGTTTTCCACGAGTGCCCTTTTTTCACGCTTGCCCTTTTTTTCACGCGTGCCCTTTTTTCATAAGTGCCCTGTTTTCACTAGTGAAAAAGGGCACTTGTTACAAAATATCGGTAGGAAAAAAGACCCCCTTTAACACCCCCCCCTCCCCGGCTTCGCCACTTAACAACAATTCCATGTGTTTTTTTTCCCTGTTTATTACATCTGATACAAAGTAAACAAAAATTCTCAATCAAATCAGTAGCGGATCTACATTGAGGGGGTGGGGGTTGTTGTAACAGCCTCCCCCCGTAACTTGAAAAGCACATAAGTGATTAAAATAATTCTTGTAGCTTATGAATCGGGCTTTCATATCTTGGATTTTGAAAGTGCTACATGTAGACCTCATTAAAACAATGGGCCAGACATTTTTTTTAATCACCCTGTATTGCAAGTTACTTTTAAAATAACAGTAAATGTGTGGTGAACGAAATAACGGTTATTTAATTATTTTCAAAACGGCGATTTGGAGAGCAACTAACTCTTATTTGTTTATATTGAAATACATGTACTTCAAAACAAAGATCACTCCAGTGAAAATTCCGAAAGAAAACAGCATCAATTTGAATTTCACTCTGACTTGACTTGGCTGTATACATGTAGTTAGGGTCTGAAGTATTTTATTATGTGGAAGTGTCCTCCAAACTTGTATTTTCATGATCAACATGAAATTGTGTGACTTTTCCAAACTTTTAACAGTGCTCACCATGGCACCAAACACACTTCTGTTGTGTGTTTATTATTACCATGGCAACTGATTCAAAGACATCGGTGCTCATAAACTAAAGTCAAAATAACTTCCATTTTCAAAATATATCAAGAAAGTATTATCTTTAGACTGAAATTCATGGCCATAATTAACAACAATACATGCTCAGTATGTAACGTTGCCGCCATTGGTGCAAGAAGCCCATGTAATTTGCAGCTTTCAATATGTACCATTTTCTTTGTTTTGATGAATGTTTTTGATAGTTATTACATGAATCAATTTCAGAGCATCAAATAACATCACCGTAATTTACTTCAGTTTTGCCAATTTGGGTTGAAAACCCACACATTTTTGGAATAAAATCAGTAAATATAGTCCCTATGGCAGTGACAATAGATACATACAATTACCTGACTGGGATGAATATGTAGACCAATAATGTTTGTTCTAAATATTGAACCATTTACACATACAATACAGAAATTATGCCCAAAATGTTATCTAGACAAGAATTTGAAAAAAATATTTAGAAAAGCACCTCAAGTGGTAGCAGAAATAGAACCAAGAGTGTCATATTATAGAGAAGTGGTTAACTAATATTTTCCTGCCAAATCACTTTTAGGAAAATCGGTCAAAGCATATGCAAATCAACATGGGGATCACAAGGTGCTGTACCCCTCCTTTTCAGAAAAGAAACACCAAATACCCGCCAGAAAGGGTTAAAATCTGGAAGCACTTGGTTAGGTGGGGGAGTTGATTTTTTTTTTAATTAACACATTAACAAAACATTCCCTGTTTGCATACAAAACCTGTAATTTAATAGCACCAATATATTTAAAATTGCTTGCCATGCAACAATGGATGCACCACAGAAGTGTGGCCTTATAGACTACTGATGCATTTTACGATTTTGGAGGGCATAGCAACACCCACAACGGTACTATATCCGACTTTTTATACTCCATCTTACCATAACTACACGTTGGGCCAAGACAATTCAATCAATCAAAATAAAAGCCGTTTTGAGATTTCACTAGTGTGATTGTTGTTTTAAAGTAGATGTTTTTTAATATAAAAAATATGAGTTCTTTGCTCTCTAAATTCTCTGTATTGAAAATAATAAAATAAATGCAATTTAAAAAAAAATAACACTGTGTACTATGAACATGTATCCATATTACAGTCCCCGCGCTTTCCAGATATTCAAAACCACCCCCACGTTGACAAAAAAAATTGCCACACCTACATAGTTTATATAAACATGTGGACTTTTCGCAAGGCAATATGTAACCTTAACAATAATACATATTCTGAACAAATATACACTAACACAAGTTTTTCTCACCAGTTATGAATAGACCAATGTCTGAACTAACAATAGCCGAAGGGACATTATTCTGAGTGCCCTGTCAAGCGCCATTTTGGAGGGATAAAAATGGGGTAAAAATGCAATTTGGCTAGTTGTGAAAACTTGCTGTATTGCAGGGCCTAAAAATAATACAAAGTTGAATTTTCAGAAGTGTTTCTATTTTTTCTTGTTAGAGTAGGGATGATACTTTGTCGTGATATAGTTACTTTTGTGACATTACTTCGGAGTTTGGCTTGATGACCTTTGAAAATAACGTACAAAAATGCATTTTTTTTTCAGCCTCAAAATTGCCAAAAATTGCCACACATAATGGCCCGTAACCATGGCTATACGTACAAAGTGAATAGTTTGCAAAATAGAAATCGACGGATGTGGGATGATCAAGAAGAACTCGTAACGATTATGCACTACACAATGATGGACTAAAACGTGCACCTTCCACGTCGGGCACATGACTCGGGCTATATGAAATTCCGCCGTTTTCATGCCATGAACTACTGCCAAGCTTAGCAAACGGAGGGGAAGACGATGTCACAGTATGTACAGGATTATTTGGTATAATGTTATTTACTTACCGACTACCGTACTTGTGCGCCACACACTAGAAGGTTGAAGAAGACTGCAACTCCAATACGCCAACAAAATCTGTTGAA